CATCTCCCTGTGAAGCAAGTATCCTTGGATGCTTTCATACCTCCTCTGAGATGATTTTTCTAGGCACCACCCCTACCTGGTCTGCAGCAGGGGCTGGAGCTAGTACCTACCTGCATCACAGTGGATGACACTGTCACTCTTATGGTCCCACTGACAGTGAGTCTCCCGGAGATCACTGTATCCTCAGGGCTTAGCATTGCCTAGCCCTGCTTTGACTGAAAGAGGCTGGGCTATGTGAAGAAGATGCATTTAATTCCATGTCTCCACGTTTTTCTAGTAAGACATGCTACAAATTCATAGGATGGTCAACATGCCTCTAGTGTATACAGAAAAAGTGCTCTGAAGATAAAGCATGGACTAAGTTAGGCAGCACCCCCACCCCTCCCCCTGCCCACCAATCACTGTGTTTACTCTTAACGGCAGTCAGTTAAAAAGAAAGAAAAAAAAAAGGCTACTTTTGTGTGGATATAGACACCGAAACTGGCTCTTTGCAAATCAATGGTCTGTCATGGGAAACAGCACTTTCTGTTGGTGGGATGCCCACAGGACAGGCAGAGAGAAGGCCTGGAGGGGCCCAAAGTTTGGGAGGGGTCAAGGTAAAAATAGCCCACACCATCAACAGCTGTTTATTCCATTTATTTAAGCAGGCTTCCGGCCCAAAGTTCTCTGGGCACCTGCACAAAATCTAAATTCAACATCTGAAATTAATTCTCCTTTTTCAGGAAAAAGCACAAACAATCCCCTCAAAAACCCAGAAATGTTCTCAGCGGAAGAACCCCTTTAGCGGGGAGACTGGGAATTTTGTCAGATCCCTGGAAGCTTTGCTGAGAAGACCTTGTCTACACTACTTTCTTCTCCCGTGTCTCCAGAGTCAAAGCACCGCAGTGCCACTGTCTGTCAGCCTGGTGACAGACAGCCGCAGCGCCACTGTCTGTCAGCCAGAGCAAACCTCTTTTCCTCCCTGAGCCTCTGCATCTGCTGTTGGAGGTTCACTTCTCTGGGCACGACAGTTTCTGCTCACGATCTCACTATCAAACCCGACTGACACCTGCTGAGGAATCTGAGGATGGAAAGAATGACATGTTTTATTTGGATGGCATTTGGCTTGCATCATTTCATGGGCTCCTGACAAAAGCCACGAGGGAAGGGATTGTCTTGCCCATTTTACAGGAGAGAAAACTGAGGTCCACAATTATAGATTAGTTAACTAGAACCATGTCTTCATGCCCAATATTTTTACTTTGTCATCTGCCTTTTTTATTGCTCGTTAAAAATAATAGTTTCACAGAACAAGTTGTTAGCAGAAGATTCAAACAATATAAATAATGCAAAAAGCTCTCGACCTCCCACCAGTCTGTTCCCAGAGGTAGTGGCTATAATCTGGTGTTCTGGATAATAATGTTCAACCATTAGATTTTTTTCCATACGTTCACATACCTAGATGTATATACATACTTTTGTTTCATGTTTTAACAACATTTGAATGACAGTATACTGTCAATATTATTTTTAAAACTTAGTTTTTAAAAGAAGTGCTTTGTCTTAGAGATATTTCTATGTCAGTACATACAGGTCTACTTCATTCATTTACTCTATTGTAGGTTATGTCAGAGTATGGCTGTACCACATTTGATCGAACCCTGTTTTTACTGAGGAGCATTTGTTTCCAGTTTTTGGCGACTGCATCCTTTATACACTTCTTGTGCGTGTGTGTAAACCCTTCTTTAGGGAGACACAATAGTGGCTTCACTAGGTTTTAGGGACTTCAGACTGAAAATATTAATGGATGCTGTCAACGGTGCTCCATATGGGGTTCACCATATATATATATACACACACATATATATATTAATTTTAATTTTTTTAAATTTTTTGAGACAGAGCCTTGCTCTGTCGCCGAGGCTGGAGTGCAATGGTGCAATCTTGGCTCACTGCAACATCCACCTCCCGGGTTCCAGCAATTCTCCTACCTCAGCCTCCCGAGTAGCTGGGATTACAAGTGCCTGCCACCATGCCCGGCTAATTTTTGTATTTTCAGTAGAGATGGGGTTTCACCATATTGGCCAGGCTGGTCTCTTGACCAGGCTGGCCTAGAACTCCTGTCCTCAAGTGATCTGCCTGCCTCGGCCTCCCAAAGTGCTGGGATTACAGGCATGAGCCACCGCACCCAGCCCACCACTTTATATTTTTGCCACCAAAGGCAGAGCTCATCACATCCTTATAAACTCCAACCTTTTAACATTTTACTAGTTTGATTTTTTAAATGGTACCTCATTTTGTATCCCTCCTCCCTGGTTACTACAAGACTAAACATATTTTGTGTTGTGAGATGTCTATTAATGTACTCAACCCACCTTTCCATTGACTTGTTGATTTTCTTATTGATTTGGGGGATATTTTTATATTCTGTCTATTAACCTTTGTTATGTAAGCCACGCCTTTTTTTGAAACTGTGTTCATGGTGCCTTTTTTATACAAAACTTAAAATTTTTGAGGTAGTCAAATTTATTAATCTTTTCCTAGATGGTTTTTGAATAAAAAATCTGGTATAAAAAAGTCTTCTATAATTGGAAGCTATCTATAGTCATATCTGTCTCTAACATTTCATATTTATTTAGCTTGTTATTTATTTATTTTTATTATTTGTTTGAGATAGAATCTCGCTCTGTCTCCTAGGCGGGAGTGCAGTGGTGCCATCTTGGCTCACTACAACCTCCACCTCCTGGGTTCAAGCAATTCTCCTGCCTCAGCCTTCCGAGTAGCTAGGATTACAGGTACCTGCCATCATGCCTGGCTAATTTTTTGTATTTTTAGTAGAGACAGGGTATCACCATGTTGGTCAGGCTGGTCTCAAACTCCTGACCTCAAGTGATTCGCCTGCCTTGGCCTCCCAATGTGCTGGGATTACAGGTGTGAGCCACTGAGCCCAGCCTATTTAGCTTTTTAGTTCATCTGGAGTTTACTCTTGTGAATGGCATATCATAGTGTGCTATTGTTTTCTTGCTTCCTGTAACTCCTGACTCTGACTTCTTACTGAAGTAATATCATTCTCTAAAGGCAGACTGAAACTCTTTCCTTCAGTCTGCCTTAGTTCTCCAAACAATGGATGTGTTTTTTCCCTAAGGCTCCACTCCAGGTGAGAGAAGGAGAGCAAATATATGGAGAAAATAATAGTGCAAGGCAGGAGGAACTGCGTTGCAAAGACTGGTCCAGAGAAAATGGCAGAGAGGGAAAGAGTACTTTCAGCGGAGCGGTTTGGGAAGCCATCTCAAAGCAGGTGGTGCTTGAATTGTGAGGGGAATGGGAGGTTGTTTAGTTTGATTAGAATGTATATTACAGGCTAAAAGAGGTTGGACAGGCTATGATTGCAGGGATCAGCATCCTACATTTCATAGGCCAAATCTGGCTGCTACCTGTTTCCATACAAGGTACAAACTAATAATGGTTTCCACATGTTTAAATGGTAGAAAAAATGAAAAGAAGAGTAATAGTTTATGATGTACAAGTTATATGAAATTCAAATTTCAGTGCTGATAGAGTTTTGTTGGAACACAGCCACATTATTTGGCTGTGGCTGCTTTCGCACTGCAGTGGCAGAATTAAGTACTTTTGTGACAGAGACCAAATGGCCCGCAGAGCTGAGAAAATGTATTCTCCGGATCTTTACAGAAAAAGTTTGCTGACCCATGATATAGGGACTTGGATGCCAGGTTTAGGAGTGTGACTCTTATGTGCTGGACAATGAGGTAGGACACATTATGGTTGGTGGTGCGTTTAAGGAGGATGCTGTTGTGGTCTGGAGATCTGCAGGTGAGAGTGGGGCAGGGAGGTGCTACAGGTAGCCTGGGAAACAGTCCAAGTAACAAGTAATAGTTTCAACTCTAGAAGTGGGAAGAGAAGAGGGGGAATGTGAACGATTCAGTCATTCGTCAAGGCTTACTGCGGTCTGCATAGAGTTCTGGGTGCCGAAAGGTCTTATGAAGGTAGAAATGGCAGCTCTGAGGGATATGAGTACTATTATTAGTTTGCTAGGACTGCCATTGTACCACAAACTGGGAGGCTTAAACAACAGAAATGTATTATCTCACAATTCTGGAGGCCGTTAACCTAAGATCAAGGTGACGGCAGGGCCATGTCCCCTCTGAAGGAGTCAGGGAAGGATCTGGTCCAGGACTGTCTCTCAGCTTCGAACAGTTCCTTGATTTGTGGCAGCATAGCTTCAGTCTTCACATGGACACCCCCCATGTGCACGTCTCTGTGTTCAAATGTCCCCCTTTTAGAAGGACACCAGACGTAGTGGATTAGGGGCCCATCCTACTTCAGTATGACATCGTAATTAATTACATTTGCAATGACCTTATTTCCAAATGAGGTCACATTCCAAGATACTGGGGGTCTAGGACTTCAACATATAAATTTTTGGGGAATGCAATTCAACCCCTAACAGTTTGGCACAAAGTGGTATTGAAGGGACTCCTCCCCTTCCCCTACCTTCTGCCCCTGACCATAGCATGGAGGGAACTTCCACTGAGCCGCCTCTGTCCACTTCTGGTACCTCTCACTAAGCCCCCTGCTTAGCCTCCCACAGGAGGAAAGGTTTATTTGGCGGGTCAGTGCCGACCTTTCTGCACCTGTCTGCTGGTGGGCTGGTACCGTGGCTGTGCTTGTGGGTATAGCTCTCTTTTTCTGCCCAGTCTTCCTGCTCCCTTGAGAGAGCCACCTCAAGGCCAGCCCACTGCACATCCTCTGGCTCCAGCTCCTTGCCCACGTGCCTGACTGGGAAAGGGCATTCCAGGGCCTTCCTGCAGCTCTAGCCACACCTGGCTTTCCTGGCAGAGACACCTGAGTGGCCAGCATGGGTTTTGTGTTCAGGGAATTACTCTTCGGATTTGACCTGGTAGTGGGGATCACGTGGATTATCAACATTTATGAAAATATATTTATGAGAATATGGTGAGCAATAGCACCATCAGTGAAAAGGCATTGAGAAGAAAAGACAGTTTTTTTTAAAAACAAAGTTCACTTTATTACGTTAATTTTACATACTAAGATAATATGAAATGCAGACTTGTTTAAATTCTCTTGCTGATTCTCTTGAAGACAATGTCGCCCAGTGTCATGGTCTGAAAGCCAGAAAAGAAATTACGAAGTGTTCATCTGATGTTGTATTGTAAAAAGCAAAACTAAGCTTAAAAAACAGCACCAAATATGTTGGCATATGAAACAATTCAAAAATTCATCTGGTTTCCTGCAGGACTGGAGGAAGGGATAGCAATGTTTTCCAAAATCCTATGCCAAGTCTTTATCACTTCTCCTCCTCACCTGGAAAGTCCTCCTGCCTTTGACTCAATTCCTTTCTACATCAATGACTGTTATAGCAAGACCATCCAAACTAGCCCAATCCAATCTCTCAAAGTTTCATTGAGTACCTACTATGCACCAAATACATGTTGAGCACCAAGGATACATGCACATGGACACAACTGGGCGCACAGCCTGGAAGGCAGTGAGTAGTGCATAATTGTACCCCTGGAGCTGTGAAGCTTATAAAAACAGTGGCTGCATCAGCTTTTGAGTTTTTAAGGATGTTCCCTCCACCCCTGCCAGTTCTCTTGAATAAGACTGCTGGAATGACATACCATGCCATCAGGGTGAAAAGGAGCCCCTTAGCTTCAGCAGCAATGCAATGGTTGCTGCTTGATGGGTTCAAGCCCTGGATTTACCATTTATTAGCTGATGACTTGGATAGGTCAACCTGTCTATTGAATCCCTCATCCAGCCTCCCTTGAAGGAGACAGGAGGATTAGGTGAGATGGAGTCTATCAAAGGGCGTTGGCCAGGACTTACTGCAGGACGGCTCATCTCCTGCTCCCCTGCCCTCCTGGGAATGTGCTGGGGTGGAGGGGGAAACTGCAGATTGGGTGGGTAATGCTCACACTCTCTCTAGTTTAAGAATTTTTCCGGCCGGGCGCGGTGGCTCACGCCTGTAATCCCAGCACTTTGGGAGGCTGAGGCGGGCGGATCACGAGGTCAGGAGATCGAGACCATCCTGGCTAACACGGTGAAACCCCGTCTCTGCTAAAAATACAAAAAATTAGCCGGGCGTGGTGGTGGGCACCTGTCGTCCCAGCTACTCGGGAGGCTGAGACAGGAGAATGGCGTGAACCCGGGAGGCGGAGCTTGCAGTGAGCCGAGATGGTGCCACTGCACTCCAGCCTGGGCGATGAGCAAGACTCCATCTCAAAAAAAAAAAAGAATTTTTCCATTTGAACAGAGTGATGACAGCCTCCTGAGGCAGTGTTCTGTTGTATGTGACTCCTCAAAGCATATACTGGGGGCAAAGAAGAGTCAGGGGGACATACCTGCGGGAGAAACACTGCACTATTCCTCCCCTACCCCCAAATAGGGTATAGGATGTGGCTGGCAGCCAGGCACCAAGGCTGACTGCATAACCGGACTATGCCAGGCTTGTCAGGTGCCATAATATCACCATGAATGGGATTCTGTTTATAAACGCTAAATGGGCAAAGGCATTTATGAAGCACTGTGGGCATGCAGGGCAGGTGGAGGCCTCTGTGGCTGCTTGGTTAGTGCTGAGCAGAAAGGATTAGTGATAATGTGTGTAAAGTGCCTGGGACATTGTGGATCTCCAGTAAGTGCTGGCAGATACTGACCACAGGAAAGAAGTTTAGGGGTTGGAGGGTGGAGGGGTGGCATTAGGGTATGTGAACCACTCCCCATGCTTCACCTCCCCTCTCCCCTCAAGCACGGGAAGCCACAGGCTCAGAGCACTACCAACTTACATTGGTGATTATGTCGCCGTTGAGTTCGGTCACAGACTTGATGTTTTTGAACGTTGTCACCAGTTTATTGTTACCTTCCAACTGAACCACTGTCTGCAGAGAACAGAGAGATGGCCTGTGAGGAAAGGGTGGTGGGGGGCAAGAGCCTTGCTAATGAAGTTGCTTCTTCTGCACAGGTCTCAGGTCACAACAACTGAAATGTTCTGGTTCCTATGATTCCAAGCCTGCAGTTCTCTGGCTCCAAATAGAAGTGAGGTGCATTTAAGAACTAAATAAAGTGAACAGGCAACCTACAGAATGGGAGAAATTTTTTACAATCTACTCATCTGACAAAGGGCTAATATCCAGAACCTGCAAAGAACTCAAACAAATTTACAAGAAAAAAACAAACAACGCCATCGAAAAGTAGGCAAAGGATATGAACAGACATTTCTCAAAAGAAGACATTCATACAGCCAACAGACACATGAAAAAATGCTCATCATCACTGGCCATCAGAGAAATGCAAATCAAAACCACAATGAGATACCATCTCACACCAGTTAGAATGGCGATCATTAAAAAGTCAGGAAACAACAGGTGCTGGAGAGGACGTGGAGAAATAGGAACACTTTTACACTGTTGGTGGCATTGTAAACTAGTTCAATCATTGTGGAAAACAGTGTGGCGATTCCTCAAGGATCTAGAACTAGAAATACCATATGATCTAGCCATCCCATTACTGGGTATATACCCAAAGGATTATAAATCATGCTGCTATAAAGACACATGCACATGTATGTTTATTGCAGCACTATTCACAATAGCAAAGACTTGGAATCAACCCAAATGTCCATCAGTGACAGACTGGATTAAGAAAATGTGGCACATATACACCATGGAATACTATGCAGCTGTAAAAAAGGATGAGTTCGTGTCCTTTGTAGGGACATGGATGCAACTGGAAACCATCATTCTCAGCAAACTATTGCAAGAACAGAAAGCCAAACACCGCATGTTCTCACTCATAGGTTGGAATTGAACAATGAGATCACTTGGACATGGGAAGGGGAACATCACACACTGGGGCCTATTGTGGGGAGGGGGAAGGGGCGATGGGTGGCATTGGGAGTTATACCTGATGTAAATGACGAGTTGATGGGTGCTGACGAGTTGATGGGTGCAGCACACCAACATGGCACATGTATACATATGTAACAAACCTGCACATTGTGCACATGTACCCTAGAACTTAAAGTATTAAAAAAAAAAAGAACTAAATAAAATGTCAGGACTATTTTGTCAGAATTTTAATTCATGGCATGTGATCTAGAAATGAGCATGGAACACCTAAGTGGCCCCAAATACAAATGCTAAAATCAAATCAAGTAAAATCTCAATTCTCCCAAGCTAATGGAGGGAGGTAGTGGCAAAATTCAAACTATTGACCAGTAGAGAATACATCTTTTGCTTTGGTATGTATTCTTCTTCTTCTTCTTCTTCTTCTTCTTCTTCTTCTTCTTCTCTTCTTCTTTTAATTGAAATGAAGTCTTGTATGTTGCCCAGGCTGGTCTTGAACTCCTAGGCTCAAGCAATCCTCCCACTTCAGCCTCCCAAAGTGCTGGGATTGTAGGCATGAGCCACCTGCCCAACCAGGTATGTATTATTCTTCCCAGAACGTTAACGTTTCGTTTTGTGGCCTCCTTCCAAGCCCTTATACATCCTGGAAGAGATGACAGGAACCCAGCAGGGAGCCGAAGACCCTGGACAATGTTAAACATTTTGCCTCCAAAAAGAAAATTTGGAAAAGGCCCATAGTTAAATCCCTTGACCATGAGCACATCAAGAATATTTTCCTCCTAAAATCATCCTGACCTGTAATGTTCTAATTGGAGAGGCAGAAATAAAGAGTGACCCGAAGAGATAAAAAGACAAACATTCCCAGCCCAATGAACACAGCTGTCTGGGGGGAGGAGAGAAGAGGGCTGCTAAAGCATGGAGTGTTTCAGAGGGAGGAGGAGACGGGCACCCCCATTGCCAGGATCCCCCTGCCACCATCTGCCACTCACACAGCCCACACCCCACACCCCAGCTGTCAGTGCACACCTTGAGTTGTGCCCAGCAGAAGTGATGCTGATCTGCCCACTGCCTTCAGTCTAGGGGGGTTGACTGTTCTTATTTTACAGTTTAGGGAGGTTGATTGTTCTTTATTTTACAGATGGGGTGGCTGAAGCCAGGGACTTCGTGACCACCCCTGAAGGCAGGGTCTGAGCACCTGTCTAGGGCCCTGGTATTCTGGTATTGCCAGCACCTCCTTCAATAAGTCTCTCCCTATCCTTCAAGAAGTATCTCCCAGCTCTAGGTTCAGTGAAGGCCAGTTGACTTTGGGCTCAGTTAAGGGTTTTTCACAAACTCCCACTTGCCCCACTCCTGGGCCCTGCTTAGAGGACTCTTAGTGCCAGGAGCACTGGGCCTGGGAGGACCTGAGACTTAGAATCCTGCTCTATGCCTGGTTCCCCCATATCCTCCATATGGGAAAGCTCAGACTTTGGGGGCTGGAACATCCCTCAGACAATCCCTGGGAAGATGAGAGCAGCTTCCCTATAAGATTCTTCCCTAAGAGCTGCCTTTGTCTCTCTGCTTCTCCCACAGTGGAGGTGGGTTCAGAAATGGTATCTATGGTTGGAATTGTGAGGTTAGAGCCTTGAGGAATGAGGCCCCAGGGCCAGATTCCAAGGAAAGTTCTGACAGCAGAAGGGATGCCCTCCTACCTTGACTTTCTCCCCTGTCATTGTCTCCAGCTCACTTTCCTCCCCCACCGTGAACTCGTTTTGGATCACTTTGGACCCGGCGGTGATGGTGAACTTGAAGTGCTTCCCGTTCTGCACGATTTCCGTCACACTCTTGATATCCTTCCCCTTCTGGATGAGCTCTTCCGGCAAACCTGGTGGAAACCATCTGAGGTTTAGAGATGGGCAAAGGTGGGAGTTTCATGACTGTGGTAGGCAGATGAGAGAAATGTTATGGCATGGAGGGGCAGAGGAGGGCACTGTGTCTCCCAAGGGGCTACAGGAACTCACTGGGGACTTGTGAGCAGCATGGGCTGTGGCCTTAGGATGAAAAGGACAGTGGCCTGGCCTGGCCTGCTGCTATTTTGCCAGTCAATTTATAAAAAGGACACTCCTCTGGCCTGAAGAACTATTCCTCTTGTGAGCACCCTGGTTCTTGCTCACTCTCCTTCCTCATTCCCTCCTCCTTTGATGACTTTGCTCTTGGAGCGGGAGCATTTCATTCCCCATACCCTGGGTGACCAGAGAGTTGATCTTCCAAGCTAGGTCCCTCCTGGGAGTGACAGGGGAGCTATCAATAATCATGCCAGGCCAACACACCCAAAGCAGCACTGTGCCAGGCAAGCCTGTGTCCACCTCTGCAGCCAAGGCTCTAGAGGAAGACATGCCAGCAATCCCTTGCCCTGGCATGGAGCTTTACCAATTTTAGAATTTGTCCACGCTGTTATACAAACTGAGGTTCACAAACATTATGTGGGTGGACAGTGAGCACAGAGGGTCCTGTTGCATGAGGGAGAGATGCGAGACACAGAGGTAGTATGAATTGCCTGCAGAAGATCCCTCTCCAGCAGAGCTGAAGGTCCTCCTCTCCCTGCCCCTGCTGTCTTCGGCACCCTTCTCATTCTTGGCACCCTCCCTTGCCATGCTACACCCTTTGCTTATAGGGCTCCCTCTGCCTGGAGCATGCTCCCTGCCCCCAGTCCCCTAGACACCTGTCTTCCAAGGCTCAGCCTGATCCTTCTCTTTACCTCCACTGAGCCATCCCTCCGTGCCCTCCGTGAGCCACATCCTCCTGTACGTGACCCTGGGAGGCACAGGGGTTAAAGCAGGGTCTCTGAGAATGAGTGCCTGCTTCCAGTCCTAACTTAAACACTTCCTATTTGCATGACCTTGCTTGTGATTACTAAATCTTTCTAGGCTTCAATTACATCAACTGTAAAGTGGGAAAATAACGGTACCCAGCTTAGTTTTATGGTGAGGAATAGATGGGGTATTGCATATTCCATGGTCAGCACAGTTGCCTGGCACAGTGAGTGCTCCATACACCTTAGGGAATGCCTTATTACCTTTATTTCTTCTCTTCTTTTTCCCAATAAGATAATGCCTTATTACCTTTATTATCTGTCTCCTTGATATCTATCCAGCACAGTGCTCAGTGTGTGATTGGCCTTGAGTCACTATTTGTTTGAAGAATGAATAAATGCAGGAACAGGATCACACAACGAAGTGCCAACGACATGGTCATCAATCCAGACCACACCCTAGTTCAGTGCTCTTTCCACTTGCCTATGGGATGGCCTTGTGCAGTGAGGACTCGCTGCAAATAACTCCAGAAGTCAGTAAAATGCCCCCTAGTTTGTGTATATAGCCTGAATCTCTCCCCCCATCTCAACGTTTGGACCCTAAATAGCCACTGCTGGTAGGGCCAGACCCTCATCGATGTGACCCACAGCTTTGCCTTTCAGAGCAGCACTCACCGATTGCCTTCATGAAGGATTCAAAGTTTTCCTGGCTCTGCAGTTGGTACTTGCCAGAGAAACTCATGCTGGCGATAGAGCTCCCTCTTCACAACTGATCTGCAGCTCTGCCGACCAGACTGTCCACTGTAGGCTGTTTTATAGGGGGCTCCCTTCCTTTCGAATAGCGGCCAGAGGTCAGCAGCTGTTGATTCCTTTATGGCCAGGTTCAAACATTAACTCCCGAGAGCAATGGTCAATGATAAAGAACAGGATGGGCACAGCAAAGGTTTGCTGCAATTCAGCAAACATTAATGAATATCAGTCAAGCAGGAAGCCCTATGGCCCTGGGAGCCTTTAAGTGACTCTCCACACCCCATGAAATGTGTGTGTATATGCATGTATGTGTATATATGCACACATGTGTGTATATATAGATGTGTGCATATGTGTTTGTACATCGGTGTTTATATATACATACATGTATTATGTACATAAAGATGTGTGAATGTGCATATATGTAATACATACACATATACACATTATATACATAAGTGTTTATATATGTCTGTACACATGCACACACACGTGTACACACACAGAAAAATTCCAGAGAATTCCTTTGAACTCAAAACCTCACCTTATTTACATAACCTTATGATCTCTTCTCATCCCCATTATTACACAAACTTAATTTGTAGAGTTGTCATCAGCTGCTAGTGCTATTTTGAATCCTGGGAATTCCTCCTTGATGATTATAGTCTCCTCCACAGGTCTTTTTGAGGTGTTAAAGCAGCCCTTGCTCAATGGCAGGTGTAAAACATTGGAACCAGGTGTGCAGAATTGAGACACATTTTATTAGGCAGAGACAAGGCAGGAGAAAGTGACACCTGCTGACTTGCTCCAGCCCTGCTGAGAAGACAGGACAAGGGATCTGGGGTTATGTGTAGGAAACTGGTCTTGTAGGGTTATGTATACAACACTGGCCTTGGGGAGATGGCCCAACAGGGCTTCCAGTGGCCTTGGGATGTGCCAGTTTGTTGTGAAGCACAGAGAGGCGTGGTGCCCAGTGGGTGCACATGTCCCAGTTTCTGCCTCTGAGGCAGTTCTCGGCAAGTACCCCCTCACCCCCAGATTCTCTCCTTTCTTTGTCTGGACTTTGGCGTCAACCTTTTCACCCGCAGCTTCCTGCCTTCGTCCTGTGGTCCTCCTCTACTCTGTGGTTAGACAGATCATCCTGAAGCATAGGCTGGGTTGGGCCACTGCTCCAGGCATGAGCCTCGGTGGTTCCCATCACTTCAGAGGCCACAGGTCCTGGATGGCCTGGTGTCACCTGCCAGGTCACGATGGCCACCGCCAATAACACTTCCATTTCCCTATTATGAGTTCTAATTTTTGGCTTGGAAAATGACTCCCATTGCCTAAACTTCTAGCAGGGCTGCCAGCCTTCAAAAGGTCACTCCAGTCTACCTTTCCATCCTTTTTCCTTCCTTCTCCCTAGGTCACAGATCCAACCACAGGGCCAAGTGGACACATTAGGGGCATCCATGCCACTCTCTATGCCCTCTGTGGTCTCCAGCATTTGGACATGTTGATCCAGCAAAGCACTTCAGAAGTTCTCTCCTCCACCCACAGTCCCAGTGCCAGGGCCCTTCTATGGCATCCCTGACAGGTGGTATTAAGGTGTACCCCGCCACAGAGAGCTCTCCACCTTTGGAGCGGTGTGGGCAGAGAGCGCTCACTAGTGGAGTGTCCTGCCATGTAGATTGTGGCACCAGCAGACCTTTCCCTCCAGCACAGAGGGGTGCTCTGGCCCTCCCTGCTTGGCCCTCCTCTGACCGTGTCTAGGACACAGTGTCTAGGTGCCTCCCAGGCCAGGAATTGGGGCTGTCCCTGCAGCAAGCGAAGTGGGCCTGCATGCTGAGAACTTATGGCTTTTTATAATCACCACGACTACCTGAGCAGCGGGCAGGAAGGGGCAAGGTGGCTCCAAGAAGGATGGGCACACCCACAGTCCTTCTGTCATCTTGCTCTGAGCTTTGATTACGCATCTTTTAACATGTCTCATTGTAACGAAGGGGCCCTGGTCTCCAGGTGGGATGCTGATATTTCATTTTTGTATATGTAAAGAAGTAAAAAATCCATTTTCTCAAGAACTGGCATGAGAATTCCTTGCGTGCGTGCGTGCGTGCGTGTGTGTGTGTATATAAATGACTGCCTGGGAGACAGAGTGTGTGAGACCCCAGACCTCAGACCCGTGTGTCAGTGACAGCCAAGCTGGTGAAGAGAAGGGCAGCTCCCTCATGCAGGAGACCAGGAGAGGCTGGGTGTGTCTTCCTGTCCCTCTCCCAGACTGCAGAAAGCAGAGAGAGGAATGTGGCAGGCAGGCAGGAGAGGCGCCACCAAGAGGGCGTGGGGTGATGGGTCACTGAGTTACCCCCAGTGACCGCAAGGCAAGAAGAGCTCCAGGATGACACTGGCTTTGAAGCTGCTCATTTGCTGCAGTGAATCCCCATCCATCTTTCTTTAATTTCCACTCCAACTATTTCAAAAGCTTCAGGAAAATATAGTGCCTGAATCAACATGTGAGCAAGTGGAAAATGATGCAGGGCTGAGCTTTATTTCTGGATGGTTGTGATGGGGCTGAGATGGCACACGCAGAAGCAGTGCCAGGAAGTGCAGTGTCTGTGGGGCTGCATTCCCTACAGGGTTCCCCAGGTCCCTAGAAATCCTAGGAAGGGCTTTGGAGGAACTCAAGCTCATTTTGTTTAGATCCCATCTGGGTTACATGTGACACCTAAAGCCTGGGCCAATAGCTGGCATATGTCTGTCTAATGAGCACGCGAAGTTTCAGCCCAGGGCTAAATTCAGGTCTATACCTGAGACCCTATTCACCACCTACCTAAAGAGCTCTTCTAGCACTTGTCAAGGAAGGAATACGTAAACACTTGCTTAGATGGGGAACTTAGGAGCTTTGCAGCCTAAAATCAATGAAATAATCACCAGGGAAAATGACCGTGATAGAGTCACTACGATGCCCACCTCCCATCCCACCCATCAGCTGCTTCGTTTGGGAGAATCTGCTGCAAGTGCCCATGTTCTCTCATGCCCCCAGCTGCCTGCCTGGCATCCTACTCAGATAAAGGGATATCTGGCTTATACATCCACAACTAGGCCCTCTCCCGTTGATTGCAAATGTCAAGTATCACACCCCACACTGCTGCTTTCTGGGGTCGACAGAGGGGAGTGGGAAAGAGCATCATGAAAGTTTCTCCATAGTGCAAATCAGCATCAACCCTGGAGGCCTCAGGGGAAGTATGGACCAGATGCGCCTTTCCTGGTGTCTGAGGAACAGCAGGACCCGTGAGCTATCTCCTTGTGGACCCCTCTGCCTCGTGCTGCACTTCCTTCCTACCCTGTCCAGGCAACGCCTGCAGACTCAGAACAGCATTGGGAATGCAGCTGACCCAGAGGTTGGTTCAGGGCCTGGCACAACCAGTAAAGCCTTGACAGTTTCCCTGGCAGATGGGCAGCCTGACAAGTAAATCGAGCTGATCAACGCCGGGCCAGGACTCCCTCTCTCCCCCAGGTCTGAGATATGGCTATTCTTAGGCAACCCCCAATGACTTCCTTTTGTCATTTGTGTGTGTGTGTGTGTGTGTGAATCTTGAGAGCACAGAGATTAGTAGCCATTTCAATATTTAATACTCATGAGTTTTCCATAAACTTAGAAGAGGGTAATGACATCTTCCACCCACTAGCTGAGCAAACACAAGAAGAGATAAGCTTAATTGCAATGACAAAGTTCAAGTGGCTTTCAAGAAATAAAAAAAAAGAGACTCCCATTCTGTGGGCACAGTTTTGGAGTGACCAAAGACTCTGGCCCCACTCACTCCACACTAGACATCCCCTCTTCTCACATCCCTACTCAGATGGGCAGCGTGCAGGTGTGGGAAAGGAGGGGAGTCACCTCTTGGTGGCCAGGATATGATAGGTGTTCATTTTAGAGCAAGCACCTTTGACCTTAGTGCCTGCAGTGCCAGCCTGCCCATTTCCTGGGTGTTTGAACATAGGAGGTGGCCTGAGAAGCCCATAATTCTGATACAGGCAGGGCTGCAGAGAAAGGACTTGGGTTTGGGCCCAGCTCTTCTTTATACCTGATGTGGAGCCTTGCTGAGCCTCTACTTGCTTATCTGTTAAATGGTCATGACATTTTTTGCCTCATGAAATAGTTGTGTAAACTAATCACAACCACAATGAGACACTATCGCCATCAGTCAGAACGGCTACTATTAAAAGTAAAAAAATAACATGCTGGCGAGGTTGCAGAGAAAAGGAACACTTACAAACTACTGGTGAGAGTGTGAATTAATTCAGCCATTGTGGAAAGCAGTGTGGTGATTCCTCGAAGAACTTAAAACAGAATTACCATTTGACCCAGCAATCCCACTACTGGGTATATACCCAAAGGAAAATAAATTGTTCTACCATAAGGACGCATGCATGAGTATGTTCACTGCAGCACTATTCACAATAGCAAAGACATGGAATCAACCTAATGCCCACCAACAGTACACTGAATAAAGAAAGCGTGGTATATGTATATACGCTATGGAATACTATGCAGTCGTAAAAAAGAATGAGATCACGTCCTCTGCAGCAACGCGGATGGAGCTGGAGGCCATATCCTAAGCAAACAAACACAGGAACAGAAAATTAAATACTATGTGTTCTCACTTATAAGTGGGAGCTAAACAATGAGAACACAGGATACTAGTAGGAGAACAACAGACACTGGGGCATAGTTGAGGGTGAGGGTGAGAAGAGGGAGAGGATCAGAAAAAATATCTATTGGGTCCTATGCTTACTACTTGGGTGATGAAATTATCTGTACACCAAACCCCTGCTACATGCATTTTACCTAAATAACAAACCTGCACATGTACCCCTGCATTTAAATAAAAGTTTAAAACATTTTTAAAAACTTTTAAGTGGTTATTGTAAAAATTAAAAAAAAATTAAAAAAGAATTGTATAAACTGTCAAGTCCTTCAGAAATGCGACACTCATATGACAGGGGATCGGAGCACTTTGCATTTGCATCTGTCAGATGTCCCAGAGGTATGACCAGAGAGGACCAATTTTTCAGTCTCCTGGCTTGGGGAAGAGCTTCCTTCCCATCTCTCTGGGCCAGTGGG